CACCTCCCTGCCTAAGGAAGGGTGAACCATTCCAGGCTGGAACAGGTTAAAGCTACTGTGATAATCAGTATTGAAACTGGGCCCATGAGTCCACTTCCAGCCTGGGTGAGATGGGGAGACCTAGTCCTCCCCCACCAAAGAAAAGAAAAGACTCTGGGGATATTATGAAAAAATTTAGCATTTATCTCCTGTTTTTTCTAAAGTGGAAATTCTTAATGTGCTTAAGAGTTCTGCTTACTTTGCAATTCCTGTCCTGTGGCTCATTCTCTAAATTCTCTTTTAGATATCCTGATAATGGAAGTTTAGATTTAAGATAAGAGGGAAGATAGTCTCTTTTCACCGGGAAATAGCTTGTCTCTATTTAGACAAATTATAGATTAAAAATCTTGCTAAGCTTGGCTTTTAATATGGATCTCAAAGTCTTTTATAAAAGACCTTTGACCACTTCGAAGTAGACCATAAAATTCTGGGAGGATCAGAGGTATTTCAAACTGTTAGCCATTCTAATGTAATGGAACATTTTTCAACTGATTATCTGTTTGACCCAGGTAGAGTCCCTAAAGAACTGGGGTTTGTTTCAAAAGGAAGCATAGACAAGCAGAATGGTTTTGAAATCATACATGGGATTTATTATATACTTTCAAAAAGTAAGCAATATGAAATGGAGATCCATGCTTTCATATATACAACACTTTTTGTGGTTCACTGCGTATATATGGAAGTTCTCTTTCTCTTTTTTTGGTGTTTTAAGTTCAGGATAAGAAAGTTTTTTGAGATTCAGAAAGAGGAATTTAGGTAATGTCCTGCCTTCTTTAAAAATACATTTTTATTTATTTCTTTATATATTTCCCAATTACATGTACATTTTTAAACATTTATTTTTAAAAATTTTGTGTTCCAAATTCTCTCTCCCTTCCACCCCTCCCCCACTCCTTGAGAAGGTAAGCAATATAATATTGATTATACTTATAAAGTCATGCAAAACATTTCTGTATTAGCTATGTGGTAAAAGAAAACACATACAGAAAACCAAGAAAAATAAAGTGAAAAAATTATGCTTAAATCTACCCTCAGAGTTCATTGGTTCCTTCTATGTCTTGGCTTCTTAATATTGGCCTGCATCTGTGATTTCTTTGCACTGTTGCAGATTAGAGAAAGTATTCTTCTTTTAGGGTCTATGGAACTCCAAGGGGTCTGTGGAGATTTTTCAGGGTGTCCAAGAACTTGAATGGGAAATATATATATATATATATATATATATATATATATATATATATATGTGTGTGTGTGTGTGTGTGTGTGTGTATATATATGCACACACATATATACATATGTATACATACACTCTCTCTCTCTCTCTTTATATATATATATATATGTATATGTTTCAATATAGTTTCCTTGATTGGAATTTTGGCCACTACCTGACACAGTGGATACAGTGTGGGGCCTGGGGTCAGGAAGACTCATCTTCCTCAGTTAAAATCTGACATCAGACACTTACTAGCTCTGTGACCCTGGGCAAGTCACTTAACACTGTTTGCTTCAGTTCCTCATCTGTAAACTGAGCTGGAGAAGGAAATGGTATTTTGTGCATTTAAAAACATTGTTCTGCTAATGTGTCCCTAGGCTTCTCCAGACAGCCAAAGTGCATGTGTGAGGTCTGTGATACCAAAATGGTCAAGATCTCCTTTTACAGAGTTGCCTAGGGGCACTGAAAGTGACTTGCCCAAGGTTATATACATCTAGTATGTGTCAGAGACAGGGCTTTAAGCCAGATCTCCCTTACTCCAAGCTGACCTTCAATCCAGCATGGTATGCTTCCTCTCAGTTTGGTTTATAGAACTATGAATTAGAATTTTTTTTTTTAAAGTGGCTATGAACTAGGGATCTGAGCACAGTAGAAGGTTTACTGATTTCTCTAATAATGATGGCCAGACTTCTCAGTATTGACTTATTTATATATTTCATGAAATTTAATGCAGAATTTAGAGAAGTCACTGTCATTCTTTGAAGATGAGAGGAAAGATAAGTAAATGCTTCTGTAACCATGTGTCTTTAGCAATTGTCTCACAAAAGGAAGTACCTTACTCTGATCCTTACTTGCTTTGATGGAGTTCTTGGAGGAAGTGAGCTTGGAGCTGAGATTTGTTAGAGGAAGAAAGTACTTGGACAGATGTGTGATTGTTGTAGGCCCAAGAAAGAGAGGGAAGAACCTCTTGGGACATAAAGTGGGGAAGGAACTAAGAGATCAAGAAATCTTTTGCAAAGTCATGAATTGGACACTGAGACCAGAGCCAACTGCCTTGTGTGGCGTTTCCAGTTTTCATTGCTCTAGGAAAAGCTGCCTCCCAATAGAAGGCAGCAGAAGCAGGCTGTGACTTAATTAATCCTTGTCTTTAATGTTTATTCTAACACTAGCCAGTACTGTTACTGCTCTAACAACCTTCGCTTCCACTCATTCAATGCTGACAACCCTAATATCCTCCGCTTCTACTCATCCAATGTTGACAACTACCGAGGACCAAAACTCAGGTAACGTCCCAATGTTTCTAAGGTTAGGAGATTTTTGGTGAAAGAAAGATTTTCTGTACAGGCACAATATACAGCCTAGTCCAATTGAGATTTGAAAAGGAACAAAGTAGGTTGGAACTTGATTAAAAATGTGATTTCTCTATAAGGGGTTTCCAAAGGGTGGTAAGAATGTGGCAACCATAGTTCTGAAGGCCCTCTAGATGGAGCATCTCAAATTGAAACAAGTTGTCATGTAGTTAGGACATACTTCAGGGGATTAGCAGAGGGAAGAAAATGTATAATACCCTGCTATGTATTTTAGGTATAAATCTTCCAGAAATAAAAATATTAATCTAACTATCTAAGCCATTTCTAGCTTACTGAGAGATGTCCAAACTGGCATGGTTCTCCCATGTCCTCTGACATGTCATTCTCTCCCAAGACAATTTGAGGTAACACTCATAGGAATCCTGAACAAGGAAATGATCACAATAATATGTTGAAATAGTTTTAAAATCTCTGCCTCTTGACTACTCTGGCTTCCTTCTAGTCCTAGCTAAAATTCCATTTACAAGAAGCCTTTTCTCATCCCCCTGATTGCTAGTGCCTTCCCTCTGTCAATTATCTCCAATATATCCCATATTTATCTTACTTCTATTTGCAGTTGTATCCTCCCTTACGCTGAGAGCTTTTCTGGGTAAAGTCTGATTTTGTGCTTTGCTTTGTATCCCCAAGCCTTAAATAGGTTCCTGGCACCTACGTGCCAAATAGATGCCTGTTGATTGTTTGACTGAGCTGGTTAACATTCCAAAATTGTAGTCACTTTCTATTTCTTCTGGGACCACTATCCTCAGGGATTCAAAGGGTCTCTTCTCTGTGATCAATGTCACTTCTGAATAATAGAAGAAGGCTCTTTCTTTTGAATAGAATAAAGGCCAATTTTCTTTGGTGTTTCCTTGGCCAATCCCTCTGTTCTGGGAATGGACTTTATCAAAAGAAGATGCACTAGAAGACCTCCCTGTTGGAACTTGAGTTTCCACTTTTTTTTTTTGCCTAGACAATGGGGTTAAGTGACTTGCCCAGGGTCACACAGTTAGTAAGTGTTATGTGCCTGAGGCTGCATTTGAGCTCAGGTCCTCCTGAATCTAGGGTCAGTGCTCTATCCCCTGTGCCACCTAGCTGCCCCATTGAGTTTCCACTCTTGATCCATTTCCATTTCCTTATAAACACCTCTCCACCTTTTTTGGTACAAGTATGGAAAGGGCATTTAGAAAAGAAAAATATTATTTTCTGATATTTCCAACTGAACTAAAAAGGAGGTTTTCAATATGCTTCCACACAGTGAAAGAGAAATTAATCAAACTTAGAGTGAAGGGAGCCAATCAAAGTGAAAGTCAAGACATGCCAGGCTACAGAGAAGGGAATCAGTGATGTGAAGGGTGGCAAGGAAAGAGCCATAAAGAAGAAGAAAGATAATTGGGGGAGGGGTGAAGAAGAAGGCACATTAGAGAAGTCTAAAGGGAAGTAATACCTAGAGTAGGAAAAAAAGATTCATAACGAACTCACTGAAGTTGAATTCTCCCGGGGTAAAGAGGAAGAAGAGGAGGGCACATAGGACAGGACAAAGAACACTGATTCTTGGGTTTAATGAGATACTGTTTGTAAAGCATTTAGCATACTGCTTGGCACACAGGAGGTGTTTATACTTCCCTCCCTTAGAGGATTGAGGTTCAAATCCTTACTTTGCTCCTGCCTTCCTGTGTACCCCTAGGCAAGTCACTCAACCTTTCTGGGCCTCTATTTTCATATCCCTCAAATGAGGGAGCTGGACTGGATGACCTTTGAGGTCCCTTTTAACTTTGCAGTGTTAAGAAGGAAAACTAGAGTCAGGGTCAGCAAGGAAAGTTTCTTGAGAGTGGTAGAAAGACCAGGCCCACAAATGCGGTTGTCACTCACCATCTGAAGAAGCTCCCAGAAGAAGAGGAGTTGGGGAAATTGAATTTGAAAAGAGGTTGGGAGGGGGAGGGGGGGGGGGGAATCAGTGCACTTAAAAAGGAATAGAGAAAGGAGGAGGATGTTGACCTGAACCCCTGCTCTTGGGCCTGGGAGACCATAGACTGGCAGTTCATGTCAGAAGGGAAAAATCACACCTGAGCACGATACAGGAAAAAGTTATCAGGAAAGACCTTCCTGGCCGGGCCCAGAAAGAGATGGCCTTTCTGAGCGGAGGCAGGAAAGAGGTAGCCCGAGGAAAAGAAAGGGCAGAGTGTGTGCTAGTTAACAGAATGTGTGAAGCTGGAAGAGGAGAGTGGGAGCTGTAAAGAAACAGGTCATAATTTCCTGGATGGTGGAGATTACAGGGTGGGGAAGACAGATACTAGTGACTTTGGGGAAAATGGAAAAGACAGGGAAGACAAATTTGGAAGACATTCCTAGGGCCATAGCAATGTTCCCTGACAGACTATCTGTTTCTTTTGTTCTGGTAGTTTCTTCCACCCCTGTTTTGGACATAGTGACAACAACCAGACCCTCAGAAACACCAGATGGAAAAAACTGGACACAACCTAATACCCCAATTGGTAATGATTTCTCCCCTCATGTTATTCACATAAAACAAGATAAACCATGGGTACAGCCTGAATACATATGCAGAACTCAACTGTCCATATGCAGGTACATACAGATGGGTGATTAGTATGATTCCATTCACATGAGTTTTATGGATTGTCCTGAAGTAGATAACACATTTGAAAGTTTTGTTATGTATCCTAAATTTGCATGTCCTTCCATTTATGTTACATCTATGCAAAGTGTAGTCACTGTATGGTCTACATGTATGCAAGACTTCTTGCATGCTAGGGTTACTAAGTTGTACAAGGACAAGAAGCCTTGTGGTATCTTAGCAAATATGCCTGGGATCCCATCCTTCCTGGGAAACAATCCCAGTTAAAGGGATAGGGACTGAAACTATGATTTCACCGTTAAAAGAAGGGAAGGGAACACATATTTATATGGTGCCCACTCTAGTTATAGGGAATTCCTTGGTGAGAAAGCTCTTAGAAATATAAGTCGGTATCTTTTCTTCAGGTAGCTAGGTGGTGCAGGGGAGAGAGTGCTGGGCCTATAGTTGAGAAGACTCATCTTCTTGAGTTCAAATCTGGCCTCAGGCACTTGCTAGCTATGTGACCCTGGACAAGTCACTTAACCCTGTTTACCTCAGTTTTCTCATCTATAAAATGAACTCGAGAAGGAATGGTAAACCACTCCAATATCTCTGCCAAGAAAAGCCTAAATGGGATCTCAAAAAGTAGGATGCAACTAAACAACAACAAATCTCTGCAGCTTGTAGGTTTAGGAAGTTGTGAAGAGCACTAAGGGATTAAGTTGAGGCTAGAGTTACATAGCCAGAACGTGGTATAAACTCAGGTTGTCTAAGATTTGGAATTGGCTCTGTTTTCTACACCATTCTACCCACCTCTGTTCAATTAAAAGGACCTTAAACGAAAAACCTACAGGACTTTCTTCACCCAAAGCAATTGAAATGGTATTTTGTTTTGGATGTTTGAACCTTTGGAAATTCCTCCTGACATGAGTACAAAATAGCCGCGTGGAAATGGGTTAAAACAACAGTGTAGAAAGCAATGGTAGCCTTTCAAATTCAATGTTGTTAGTGCCAACTAAGTGGTACAGTGGATAGAGCACTGGCCCTGGCATCAGGAGGACCTGAGTTCAAATCCAGCCTCAGACACTTGACACTTACTAGCTATGTGACTCTGAACAAGTCACTTAACTCCAATTGCTCACCAAAAGAAAAAAGAATTCAATGTTGTTGATAGGACAAATGTGGGGTAAGGAGGAGAGGGTGGACATCATTCTCTAAAATCTGTCAGGAAAAAACAAAGTTAAAAAAGTTAAGAACTTTTGAAGAACTGAAGACATAGGTTCATCAATTTAAAGCTAGAAGACCACCTAGTCCAACTTTTTCATTTTATAGAAGACATGAAAGCCCATAGAGGTTGCCTCTGTTACAAAGGTCATAGCTGAGATCTGAGTCCAGGTTCTTTGACTTCCAAACTAGTGTCATTTCCATTGGGCCATGCTGTCTCTAAAACGGATGTATTTTGAATGACTGTTTCTTATACTCAATGGCTCAAGGACAAGTTCTTACTAAACTACGCCTCAACTGACTATAAAACCCCAGACCACAAGAGTCCTTAGAGATCGTCTGGTCTAACCCTCTCACTTTATGCAGGAAGAAACTGGCCAGTGAGATGGAAAGTCAGAGAGTTTGTTAATGGAAGAATTAAAACTAACACCATATTCTAGCATTCAAGTTTCATTCAACTCCGTGGAACACTAGGCACAAGACAGGTAGAAACTTAGACTAGGAGATAGTCAGAAGGAACTGAAATGGGACTTTTGATTTGATTAGCAGTTTTGTTTGTGCTGAATTAACATCACATTTTCTATAGTTAGAGGATTTCCTCTTCCACTAAAGTCTTCCCCTCATACTTGTTTGTGATGTGGTTGTGATGCTGGGTTCTTGAAGGCTAGGTGTGCCAGCAGAGCTCAACCTCTGGCAGGTCCTATGAAACTGGAAAAACTTTGTGAGTGAGCCCAGTGAAGGACTGCAAGTCTGTCATCAATGACCAGCCTGGTACAGGTCAGAGATCTTCTACTATGTCGGCCACAGAGTAATGGTTTCTTTTTTGGCCACTGAAACTCTTGAAGGCCAACTATTCATTTAAAGAGTGGTTATGGTTTGCCTCTGTATTGGTTGTATTAACACCATTTAAAAGACAGATACTTGAGGCGTGAGAAGGGGATTTTATGTGTTAGTGAGGTTGAAGAGGCTATGACTCACATTTAACATAGGGAGGATCTTCATCTCTCTTTACTTGTTATTTGATATGTTACCTTATTAGTTCTCTCATCTTGGGTTCCAAGCAATCAAGGAATATGTTTTGAAATTTCTTGATAAATTTCCAAAATTGCAATACCTCATTAATTAAATAGCATTGAGCTCCCACAAGAGTTTGTTAAATGAACGAGTGAAACCTCTTTCCCCATAAGTTTTTGCTCATCTCTTTTTTCAAACTCTAATTTCCTCTCTAATTTCCCAAACATCAGATTTCTATTCATACAATTTGGTAATAGTGTAACACAATAATACAACAAATAATTATTAGCAATATATCAGCTCTGAGGAAGATTACAGCTGTAGTCACCTAACCATTGCTGACTTTTCAATTCTGGAAACAAAGTCTCTTCATTCAGCTTTCTTAGGACAGCAAGTCAAAATCTCTCTAACATTCTCTTCATCTCTTTGCCTCATTCATCTCTCTCTAGCCATGATAGGTAACTACAGAATTACAGTTTTATGACTGTCTAAGATTCCATTCTTCTTCTTCTTCTTTTTTTTTTTAGGCATTTGGGGTTAAGTGACTTGCCCAGGGTTCAC